CTAAGGAATGTTAAAATCCTTTATCCATGGAATTCATAGGAATCTGAAGATTCCTTCTGCTGAAAAGAATGAACCAAACGAAGGAAATGAATCTGGTCAAAGGAATTCAACATTCCAATTCCTTCAGATTCCTCCAGAATTTGCGAACCAAACGCCACCTTAGAGTTATTTAAACTGCGTGATATTATAAGTCAAATCGATTCGATTTGTTTGATCTACAAAGGTTTATTTGTTCAAAAAAAAATCAATTAATATAAAAAATTTAAAAGTAACGTACAAATTGGTCCATATGCTTTGTCAAAAACTAACACTTTTCGTCTCAACAGTTTTAAAATTACAAGATGACTATCATAATTTATATAAAGTCCGGATTTGGTCCTTACATCTAACAACCACTATAAAAATTCCAATAAATAAAGGGCATGTTTGTTATTTTTATCACTCTATTGTCTTCTACTTGATCAAAAACCATACAGACCAAGGCTATAAAATAAATTTTGATCATATAATACACAAAATAAACTGATAAAAGAACAAAAATACATCTTCTTGGAACTTTTTAATGGCAACAAATCCGAACATCTATACTATATTACAAAACATTTGACAAAAACTCATAAAAACCATTTTTAATGCATAAAGTATGGTATATTGATGCAAATTACTTAAAATTCAAGATTACAAGTAAATTATGCCAAGTACAACTTATTAAAGCTCCATGTTTAAATTCGTGTAACTATGTTTGAATTCGTGTAACTAACTGCGGATAAACATAATCAAATAGAGGATAAACATCTCATTTTAAATCTAAAAAATCTAAAATATAATTAGGATAATTATCGAGTTCTAATAAAATAATTAATTATTATCTTTATAAAAAAATTATATCATTAAACCAAATATAAATTACTTCGATATTGAACATAAATTAAATTATAATAAAAAAATTGAATTAAAAAATTACATAAAAAATATGAATATTAAATAGTTAATTTGATACTAATATCGATAAATTTTCGTCAAATTTTTATGATATCTTCAAGTTCATATTTTATTTAAAATAAAAACATCATCGCTTTTTGAAAATCACATAAAACTATCTTATAACATCGACTGAGATTAAAAATAAAATACAATATTAAAATTAAGATATATCTCGCAGCATTGCACGAATATTCATTTAGTTTTCGTAAACCGTTATATCCATTTTTTAGTTCGAAGCTGGACTAAAAGTGTTATTTTTGACAAATTACAAGGACTAAATGTTTAGTTTACTCAAAAACTAATCGTCTCAAAAACGGCAGGATGCCTTCCGACGGATCCTTGCAAATTAAAACAATGAAATCTTCTAAACCAAGAAAATCTCTATTTTGATTCGGAAGCAAAAACTGAATCATCCACTGGTACCCTAATTCTTCTCGTAGCTTCAGTCCAATTTTAGTTGGATCATACTCCAATTTTCAACGACAGTGGAAGTAACTAAAGATCAATTCAAATCATTTGTTCAAGAAGAATCTGTGGAAGTAGGTGAAAAACGGAATGGAATTCGGGAAGAGACGCAGAGCAGCAGTTGTGGTACTCGGTGATATTGGTCGCAGCCCTCGTATGCAATTCCATGCCCTTTCTCTTGCTCGTCAGGTTTCGCTCTCTATCATCCGAAGAAGCAAACAATTAGATTTCAGATTATTTTTTTCATTCAATCAATCAAGTTCGCTATTCTTACTGACAAGGTTTTGATTTGTTTGAGGCATGCATATGTGACCTTTCTGTGTTTGCTTTACTGAGTTTGATTTGGTGCTCAATAGATTCTGCAGAATGCATAAGTTTATCCACCACATCTGCTTCATATTACGAGATACTTTTCGATTTTGAACTCAATTTTGAAAACCCGAAGTTATAAAATTGATGATTCAACTATTGAAACCAGTAAGGATGATAATCAATACTGTTTATATGCTTCAAATCAGATATTATTATTCTTCCAGAGTTTAAAAAAATTTGTGTAAAAAATTCGTATCTTAGGTCTGACTGCAAATTGATTTCCTAAAGCCAAAATTTATCTCTAATTTTTATTGAAGGGAGTTTTGATCTAGGTGCTTGTCTGATGAACAAATGAAAATGCGTTTTCTGCCAAGTTTTTAAGTTGTTTGTTGAGACTATACCTAGAATACGGAAAAGATGCAATCTATCCTTATATATCAGGATCATTTCAATGTAGGATTTTAGCACTAAAGCAATTGTTAAGCTTCAAGTCTCTAAATCTTGACTCCGCTTTATTATGGATTGATTGGAATAATGGATTTAGTATCTGCAGTCCATAGATGCATAGCAGCAACGCCTAAATCAACTTCACTTTCACCTGACTTTTTTTTCTTACTATTAGTTCCAATTTTCTACATGTTAGCTTCTTGAATCTGTTGCTAGTGTAAGAATATTAGTGATCAGGCCTTAAATGACCACCCATTATTGGGAACTGTAGAATTCTCTCTTAACATGTGCAACAAGAGTTGCTATGGATTATTATTAGCGTGTGAAAAATTGGTATATGAGAGGGCTGTCATTCCCTGATTCTTTATGCATTTTATGGTTGTTTGACTTTCTTTTTTGTATGGCAGGCAAATCTTGAGGTGGATATTGTTGCATATGGAGGTATACATTATATATTACTTATGATAATCTTCCATTAATAATCTCATCAGTCTCGTTAGGTTAATTAACTAGTGATGATGAAAAGATTCAGGTTGCAAAGTATGAGGATGATAATACTGTTCTAAAGATTAAGCAGTTAAAAAACTACTCTTCCAGAAACTATGAATCATTGAACCACCTACTTATTTATTCATATAAACACTTATTGCTCAAGTCACAATTAGTTTGCCAATCAACTTTTGCTATTACGTGACCATCAAATACCATCATATTTGTTTGGACATAGGTTAAGTGTACTGTTTCAAGATTATGTTTTCTGTAGGTTTGGTTTAGGATTTTGAGTCTGTCAAGTTGATTGAGTGGGAGGCGTAGGTGCGCTTTTGTTCTGTTTTGGCAGAGCATAAGATGAGGGAGGTTTACAGAATTCAAGTTTCAAGTTCTGTTGCTTCAAATTCAAGTTTTCATCATAAATCTCCATTGTTTCAAATTCGTTTTCAAGTTGCGAGTTTGAATATCATCTTTAGGCTTGTAGGTTTCAATGGCAATGGTTTCAAGGTTCAATGGGTGGTACAGTTCAATTGCTGTTGCAACATCAATGTATCCAAAGGAAGATGCCTTGCCTCCCTCCAATTGTAGTCTCATTTGGATCTCTTGATTATCAATGAATTTCAAAATTTTCCCAACAAAAAGTGGCAAAGTTCCATTATACTACACTTTCCAACAATTCTGAATAGTTTTCTAGAACCAAAAACTCGTAAAGTGTTTGAATAAGATAAGCATTTGCACTAAGTCACAAATGTCAGTGCTTGATATCTTCAATTATTTTTTTGGACAGGATCTGACCCATATTCTGCTCTATTAGAGCACCAATCTATACATATCCATACAATGGTATTGTTTATGTTGCTTAAATAATTTTGTATAATGCAAAAGGATCCTATAGACTTGATGTATCATATTGAGTGTATCATATTTTGTGTTCTGCAGAGGCTATGGCCATCAAGGGATGGAGTTTTACCAAAAATATTTCGTTCGGTTATGCTTTTGCTAAAGCCATTGATTCAGTTCATTATGCTTCTTTGGTTTCTTTGTGTTAAAATAAAGGCCCCAGATGTATTTATAGTGCAGGTGAGCTTGAGGTTCTACTTGAAATGTAAAACACTTACTTTCACAATTCTCAAATCTTATGTCTTTTTATAGCTTTAATTTCTGCTTAGAAATTGAATCCCTGAAAGGTGAAAGATCGACTTTTTTTTCTCCTTTTTGTTGTTGTAAATGTGGGTGTTTATGGTTATGTAGAATCCACCTTCCGTTCCAACTTTAGTTGCTGTCAAATGGGCCAGCTGGCTGAGGCAGTCCTCCTTCATCATTGATTGGCATAACTTTGGATACACTTTGCTTGCACTATCTCTTGGCAGAAGTAGTCGTTTCGTAGCGGTATATCATTGGTAAAAACTATATTCGTTATACTGGTTATGAATTTGAGGTATTGTGTATGACATGCTAATGCAAACTTGAGCTTTGAACTTTTTAGGGTTGAATTACATTTTGGGAAGATGGCACATGGATCTCTATGTGTCACAAAGGCAATGCAACATGAGTTGGAACAAGTTTGGGGAATCAAGTGAGAGGGTTAGCTTAAAGTTCAAGATATGCCATATACTGCTTCAGTCCCATGAAAGTTGCAAGCAAAAAAGAAAAGTTTGGGAAGTTCAAAGTAAAATTACTTGCCATTAAACTATGTTCCAAGGCAAAGATTGCAACTTTCATGGTACTAAGGGAGCATTTATGATTGATCATGTTTATTGACCTGTATAGTAACAATAATTTCCATTACATTCTCTTTTTTTTCCTTTTTAAAATTTGTAGAGCCACGGTGTTATATGACCAGCCTCCTGAGTTTTTCTGCCCAACTCATCTCGAAGAAAAGCACAAGGTAAATCAAACAGCATTTCAAGACATTCTAAACATGCAGTATTCCAGAAACTTCATATTGATTGTTGATTGCAGTTGTTTTGTAGAATTAAGAAAGATATATTCAAGTCAAATGGTCCTCTAGACTGCATCAGCTATGGTAATAGAAGTAATACTGTGGATCATCTTTCTCTTGTTCCCCCCTTTCTTCCTTATGTTTATATTTTTATGAGGGGATGGGGTTGTGAGCTTTGAGTAATCAAATACACTGATATTGTAGGAATAACTAGCAATGACATACAAGATCCAAATTCAACTCTATTTACGAACCTGATTGGTGACGATTATCACTTGAAGCAGAATAGGCCTGCACTTATTGTTAGCAGTACAAGCTGGTGAGTTCTACAAACCATTGTAGCATAGGTTAGGAACATACTTTTTGACCTTTTTGTTTAAACAAAGGAAAAAAAACCATTAATAGTGATCTAAGTCAAAAGACAATTTCTATTTCTGACAAGAGAATTAACTGCTGGATGATTTTATCTTTCAGGACCCCAGATGAGGATTTCGGCATTCTTTTGGAAGCAGCAGTCATGTACGACAGGCGTGTTGCTGCATTACTGAATGAGAATGATTCAAATGGGGAAGAAGTTCTATGGAAGGCCATTGATGATGGGAAGACATTTTCGTATCCTAGGTTATTATTTATCATCACTGGTAGGAATCCAATTCCTTATCTGTGTTATAACTGACATAACTAGAATAGATGATAAAAGTTCTCAACTTGGAGTATTCTAAACACCATGAAGGAAAAGGACCCGAGAAAGAGAAATACGAAGAGAAGATAAAGAAGCTGAACCTCAAGCGCGTAGCTTTCCGTACCATGTGGCTGTCACCGGAGGATTACCCATTTCTTCTTGGTGAGGAAATTAATGGTTCAATGTGTGTACAAAACTTCCGTCCATTAAGTTGTGATCATCATGTGTTCTTTGCTTGTTCTATATCTACAGGATCAGCTGATCTTGGTGTTTGCTTGCATACTTCTTCATCGGGGTTGGATCTCCCAATGAAGGTGTATAATCTGCTTAAATTTGTTGTTCATCAAAAAGTTCGTCATTTTATACTTCAGATATCTGTCATTTTATACTTCAGAAACAACCGCTGTACCGGTTGGGGTGGGTCCTTTGGTTAAATGACCTTATGCCATTTTTTTAAAAATCCATGACCTTCTGAGATGTTTGAGAATATTGCTGCTTAACAGAAGAGTGCCACTTCCACACACAAGAATGCCTCGAAACCTGTCAGAAGGTTAAGTATCAAAAAAAGATTTGTCAGAAGGTCATTTAGCTAAATAACCCCCTTTTTTGGGTAGAGGTCAGCTTCAGAGCAGGATATACTGGGTGTCTGGGTTTGTTTATTTGGTTTGGTTTATATCTGTCATTGTCTCCTGTCAGGTTGTTGACATGTTTGGATGCGGTCTGCCTGTTTGCGCTGTTTCTTATTCTTGGTAGATAACTTATCTCCATCTTGTTCCAGTAATCCAGTCTAACGCTTGAAAAAAGTACACAAATTTGACCTCTTGTTTTGACTTCGATGAAGCATCACAGAGCTTGTAAAACCAGATAAGAATGGGCTACTCTTCTCATCATCATCGGAGCTTGCTGATGAGCTAATGGTAAGCCAGTAAATTAAACTGAATAAATCATATAAATTCCTCTAAATTTGCGATGGTTTGTGAATCGGTAACTTCACAGATGCTCTTCAAGGGTTTTCCCAATGAATGTGATGCTTTAAAAATGCTGAGAAACGGGGTTCTGGAGATGGGATTGTCTGCAAGGTGGGCGACCGAGTGGGAAGCTAATGCAATGCCATTGATATCCAAGGCAAGCTCACCTGTTTCCATATCTACTGCAAACTTTACTGTATGTATCATCAGCTCATTGCATTGAACTAGAACTCAATTCTTGATTTTTCAGGTGATTTCTGGTGACCTGCATTGATTTTAAGTTGATCTGAAAGAGGATCAGCACAAAGATTCAAAGGTTTCCTGCATAAACCACACGGAACTGACTTTTTGGAAGTTACTTTCTGTTCTTAATTAGGAAGTTTGTGCTTTTACACGAGTTGTTACTTGATATCCTTGCTGAACTTGCTTAGTTTTTTTTTTTTTAATTTCATCAATCATTTGGTGTAATTGTGATTTATGCGAGATCGAAAAGTTTTAGTTAAGCTATAATACAGGTTAGGAGATATGGAGAGCACACTTGTATAAGCTAACTTAAACCCAATATCGCCATAAAGCAGGGGTCTAGGGCAGTGCCCCTTATGGAAGTAGATGTCCCTGAAGTTGAAACAGAGTCTTCTGATGTTTGCATAAGGGATCAGGAGGCCGATTCCGAAGGCAAAGGTTCAGAAGGCCAACTGATCTTAAGAAGGTTGAAGATCAGAAAGCTAATGACTTTTATCTGATCTGGAACAACCGTTTTTCATTCATATCGTTGGTGGGAACTGATTTAACACTGAAATAACTATTTTTCGCCATAATAACTGTCGTTTAACATACTAAAAACATCACTGAAACTTGAGTGTTTTTGCCTAAAAAACAAGTGTGAATTTGGACCATCCCAAAGTGAATTTCGTGCAACTCTAGTCTGTGAAAGGGTGTGAAACATTACTCTCGGAAAGTGTTCGATACAAGATCCATTATTCTATCAAAGTGTATCTCGATTGAAACATCATCCAAACCCAGATGGTTCACAAGGAAGAATGTACAAGTAAGTGCAGTGATTGACATTTAGGAAATTTATAGATTCGTACAGCTTTGGTTCATAACTATTGAGCATTTTCAAAATGCACCTATATGTTTCATCTATAACCTTGGTGCAGGACGAGCCCTGGGAGCATCCCACTCGGTGACGATGTGATTACGGGTGATCTGTTTGAGCGAGGTACAACCACTTAATGCCATGGTTAGTTCGAATTCATCGCGTAACATCTGAAGCACTTTCTTCACTCCTGCTTCTCCTTCAGCAGCCAAGGAAAACACCACAGGTCTTCCAATCTGGAATTTCACAACTCAATTGTTCATTCTATATGTTCTCACTCCAAAAAAAAAGAAAACGATTCTTTTAGATCGCACAAATGTCCTAAGAGTACTTAACAGGACAAAAGTTTATAGGACCATTTATTATTTGTCTTGTCTAAAGTGTTACAATAAGTTGTTAAGATGAAGCTAGATAATCTAACAAGTTATATCGACGATGGTTGGCAAACTAACATGACATATATAATAAATTGTCATATTAGTCTTTTTATAGGACATGTTGTAGAAGTATCTTATGTATAAAAAAGCCAATAAGGTGATCCGTTACTTGAGTTCTGTTTATGCTGTACAACTTTGTCGATAGAACTTGTTAGGTCAGTTCTAATAACTTATTGTTATGCACACTGTTCTTGGTCATATCAACTTGAAGTCCTATTAATTACTGTATTAGGATGGTTGAGCACCATAATAAACCCACTTTGTTTGGTATCTCTGCTTAGCTGCAATGCGAAAGTAGTACATGCTATACTTACAAATATGCCGGAAGCTCCAAGCGCCAGAGCCTTGAAAACATCAGTACCACGCCGAACACCACCGTCCAAGAATACAGGTACACGCCCTTGTGCAGCTTTCACAACCTGACCCCACATTTATTTATTAGACCATATCAAATATATAGATTTCAAAATGTCCAAGGACTCGAACCAGACCGCCTAGAGACCGGATTTGGTTAGGCCCGGTTCACACAAAGGACCTGACCAGTTAAGTTTTTTTTGCATCTTTAGCCTAAAAGTGCATTTAGTACACAAATGTGACACGACAGGAATGGACCGGACATGACAAGATAGGACATGTGAGAGTGAGATAGGCAGTTGAAAGAATTGTGACAAGTTTTAGGGTTTTAGTTTGTCACGGGTAGTTTGGTAATTTACCACCAATCTTGTCTCATCTCCCAGTATTATGTAGTCCCAAACATGGGACCACAAGTTTTTGTACTCTCCCCTTATGTCCTGCCTACCAAACCTATCATAAGGGTGCTAAGAGGTATAAACAAGTTCGATACCTCCTCCAAAGCCATGATGGTGGCGGGTACGTAATCAAGTTGACGAGCTCCATGATTGGATACAATAATACCGGCTGCTCCGGCTTGTATAGCTAACCTTGCTGTATGATCAAGAAGCGAACACGAAAAACCATAAGGTTTAACATACTCGAATTGGAAAGAAAATTAATTGAGGTTTTGATCGATCTTACTATCCTCGGCAGTGATAACACCCTTCACAAGAATTGGCATCGTAGTGATCGTCTGAAGCCACTTCACATCCTTCCAGCTCAAAGTGCGGTCAATCTGACCAGCAACATAAGAAGCTAATCCGGAGTCGTTAGCCTGAATCAAGCAGACAGTATTAGGGAAAAAATTAGTTGTTTCAGAACCTTGTAAATTTGAAAAAGACCGATTATCAACTCACTTCATCCATCTTGCCAAGGTCCAGACCCTCAAAGTTCTTCAATGTCAAAAATGGCGGTAAAGTGAATCTGTTCAAGCAACGGACTGAAATCTGTTAGATCCGTCATACAGATGGTAAAACCAAATCAAACCCAGTAAATTCCATACAAAAGTAAAGGTATGGTCTGAAAAGTAAGATGTACGCAGATGAAAAGAACCCCAAATTGTGAGGCCATTAGCACCAAAAGTTGCTTCAACCCGCATATATGCCGTTTCAATATGAACACAACATATATGCCATTTCTCCTCCATCTTTACCATTTTTCTGTTCTTTTTGCTCATCGGTGAAAGCTTCCTCTCCAGCAAAGTGTGGAATTTGTAGTACTAATGATAAACTAATGAAAAACATCTTCATGTTACACTAAGCTGGCTAGTTCCAGTGCACCTGTTTTTGATGTCAGCTTCTCGACGCCCCAGTCTTGGTGTGTCGACCGTTAAAGCTATAGCTTTGAAGCCTGCTTGTTCAGCTCTTCTCACAAGCTGAGCCACGACGTTACGGTTCTTGTACACCTGATTTCAGGGTCAGTAAAGTCAAAAACTTATACGAACCCAAATAAGGAAGAAAGCGAAAGCAATAACAATCACGAAAGACGGTGGCTCACGTAAAGCTGGAAAAAGCGGATTCCAGGTCCTGTTGAAGCAACCTCCTCAACACTAGACGTTGCCCATGATGACAGTGTCTAGAAAACAAAAACAACCGGTAAATGCTGCTTCACATTTCTAAATTTCAACCAAACGAACCCGATATATCTTTATTGAAAGTAGGGTCTAGGGATAATATGTAGACAGACTTGTCCTCTACCCCAAAAAGGTAAAGCGGCTGTTTCCATGAAGACGCCCAACTAGTGTCAAGAATAGAGGAACTACTAACCATAATAGTCCCAGCTGCAGATGCGGCTCTAGCTGTTGCATATTCACCTATATAGAGAACATAGAAGACATATAAGTGGCAAAGATAGCTCATTGTTCTACTTTTTTAGGGAGACAGTTCTGCATACATCCCACCGTCCCAGACCCCATCTTAGGTGGGATATACTTGGCTTGGTTGGTTTTGTTTATCTTTTACCAAAATCAGGAACCAAGAAAAAACACTTAGGTAGCATGGATATAAGAAGTAGAAATATAACATTTGATTGTTTACCTTCAGGGTGAGCCATCTTCTGCATTGCTGTTGGGGCTATGAGAATGGGCATAGACACCTTGAATCCCAAAATGGTTGTAGTCATGTCTATCTTGCTCACATCGATAAGAATCCGGGGCCTAAACCTGTTTCAAAACGAAACAAACAGGTATAACAGCAAAGGTTACGCAGGCGCATATGATACTATGTGAAAGTACGTGGAACACATTAGATTACTTTCTAAAAGGGTCATTCACGAATAGTTCCAACAAATTATTCAAGTCTAATCGACGTGGGAATCTAACATAGTAAAGATTGTTGAATTGGGCTTACAGGATTCTAGCGAAAGCATTTCGGTTCTCTTCTAGAGTCCACTGGTCCTCAGCACCAGAGGCATAGTAGTCATAGACCATCTTTGGCAACTTCTCCTTGGCAATTGCCTGATACTCACTCACATTTGTTACCTCCATCTCTCTTCCCTACTTCCTCCAACACAAATCAGAATTCAATACATCTCAAAAATACAACTATAGATATGTGTGTGTGTGTGTGTGTATATATATATATATATATATATGAATTTGAAAGGCAATGGAGTGAAGATGAACCTGTTTGGGTATTGTTGAAGAAAGAATAGAAGAATAAAGAAGGAAAGAAGAGGTTATATATATATATATATATAGAGAGAGAGAGAGAGAGAGAGAGAGAGAGATAAAAGTGATGGAAATAAGGATGAAGACAAGAAAAGGGGATGAGTGATTGGAGGTGAGAAATGAAAACCTAATCCAAGGGCAAGTTGCTTCTCCTTCACATGATTCATGGTGTCGTTCAGGGCTTTTATCCATTATCATCATTTTATTTCTATTTCTACTTTCGAATGAATTATTTTTGTCACCGTGGCAACGAAAAAGACGATTGTTTGACATTCTGTTGACAATCACTCTTTGTTTGTCAATGTTTTTCACCCTTATGTGACAAAAGTATGATATGCGATCTTCTCTTATATATTTTCACATGTACCTGTCTCATGATCATCATAAAGAAGAAAAACTGGATTGGTAGTGTACGAATTCGAATCAAAGACCTTGCTTGCCAAATCCTTTTATGTTCAAGTTACTTAAAAAAACAACCATAACTAAAAAATTCCAATTCATTTGTCAGATTATATTATATTATTGTTAATTAAACACTTAATCAAACTCCATAACATTTCTTTCCAATACCTTCTAGATTCATTTTTTTTAAACATATTCTATTATATTTCTCTTTTCAAATATCATGTCCTTGGTCAAATGCTTCCAAGTAAAGTTTGAAGTTTTTTTTAGAGGGAAGGCAACTTACCAATCATTTTGAAGGATTCCAAGTATTTGAAATACGAAGATTTTGAAATCTCTGGGGTAGTGTTTGGTTTGAAGGAATAAAATGAATTTGAAGTATTTGTATTTCAAATCCATTCCAATCTCATGGTTGGTTTGTTAGATTGTTCGGATTTGAAATCCTTCAAATATAGGATTTTGAAATCCTTAGGGAGTGTTCGGGGATTTCACGGGATTTCGTAGGATCGTATGCAATAAGGTTATAAAGAATGTCAAAAACATTTGTTTTGTAATAACCGATTAATAAAAATATAATTCAATTATTTTTATAATAATTATTTATATTTTTTTTCTATAAATTATTTATATAATGAAATCCAATTTCATTCCAAATCTTACAAACCAAGTACACTAATGATTTTAAATTCATTTCAATCCAAATCCAAATTCCTCCATTAAATCTAAATCCTTTAAAAACAATCATGTAAACCAAATGGACCCGGAGGGTTTTCAAAGGATTATATATATAATGCTTTAAAAATGTGAAAAAAATATTTGTTTAAAATGTAATTTAATTATTTTTATAATTATTTATAATTTGTTTTTATAAATTATTTGTAAAGAATGAAATACAATTTTATTCCAAATCCTATAAATCAAACACATCGAATATTCTAAATCCTTCCAAATCAAAATACCCCTCCAATTCTAAATCCTTTTACGAAATTCAAATCCCTCAGAAAACTATTCTATCAAACCAAATGCCCTTTTACTGTTGTGTTCTCGAATTTGGGGAGAAAAGAAAATATAGGAAATGGACGGAAAAAAAAGGTAAATAAAATAATTTTTTGATTATGTTCTCGAAATGGAAGGAAATAGAATAAATTTTTATGTTCTTAACCACGGGAAAAATGTCGTTTTACTATTATACTTTTTAAAAATATATTATTTAATATAAAAAATTGGATAATTTTAATAATTTTTTTTAAAGAGTTCTAATTTCTTTCCTTCCCCTTCCTCCCACATTTGAGTGAAAACTTCTCGTTATTTTCCCTTCCTTTCCTTTCTCTCCTAAAAAAGTTTCAAAAACACGATTTTTTTTAATTTCCACCCTTGCCCTCGATTTCCTTTCCATCATAAAAAAGGTGTCGAGAATACAACGCAAGTGTTCAAGGATTCCCAACTCCCCTTTGTTGTTCCAAAGGTTGAGTATGTATCGTATGGGGAATCATCGAGTGAGTCGAAATATAGTTTCTACAACAATGCTGATTCGATTTCCATGCTTATTGAAATACTACTTGGGAGAGTTGGAGTAACGTTTTAGTAGCTTATTGTCACTTTTTCAATTATAACTCTCATTGATATAGTAACACCCTCAAATACGAAAATAATGACTAATTTAAAATTTTCATTAATACAACAAATAAAATATAAATCTATTTTCTATTAATCAATACTTGAATTACCTCGAATATCGAATATGAAATCATTATCTATACTATATTATAAAGCATTTGCCTAAAACTCTTAAAAACTCTTAAACTCTCAAAACTCTTAAACTCGTTCATCTCTATCCGATTTCATCCCATAACTGAATTTGTGTAACTAACTGCAGATAAACACAATCAAATACAGGATAAACATCTAATTTTAAATATAAAAAATTAAAATATAATTAGGATAATCATTGAGTTCTAACAAAATACTTAAATAATATCTTTATAAAATGTAATATTATTAAACCAAAAATAAATTATTTCATTATTAAACTTAAATTAAATTAAAAATAATAATTTATAGTATATTATAAAATATTTGACAAAAACTCTTAAAAACTACTTTTTTATACGTAAAGTATTGTTTATTAATGCATATTACTTAAAAACTCAAGATTACAAGTAGATTGTGCGTAAGTACAACTTATTAAAGCCCCATATCTGAATTCGTGTAACTAATTGCGAATAAACATAATCAAATACAAGATAAACATCTTATTTTAAATATAAAAAATCTAAAATATAATTAGGATAATCATTGAGTTCTAACAAAATACTTAATTATTATCTTTATAAAATGTTATATTATTAAACCAAAAATAAATTATTTCATTATTAAACTTAAATTAAATTATAATAAAAAATAAATTAAATAAATTACATAAAAAATGAAAACTTTTAAATAATTGATTTGACATTAACATTGATATATATATTTTTTTAAAAATTTATGATATCTTTAAATTTATATTTTATTCAATTATAAAATCATTATTGTTTTTTTTTAAACACATAATCTATACTATCTATACTATATTATAAAACATTTGACAAAAACTCTTAAGTGAAAATAAATTACTTCGTTGTTAGACTTAAATTAAATTATAATAAAAAGTTGAATTAAAGAAATTGTGTGATTGTGTAACCATAACCTATCAAAACCATGATCAATCGAGTGTAACCATAACCTATCGAAACTATGAGTAATCGTTGTGATACATGTGTGATTATCTAACCCTAAACGATCGAAACCATGATCAAATTGAGTGTGCAAGTGATGTTATAATAGTGATATCACATGATTATCACACCCATATCGCACCAAATCGTTTAGTGGATTTCGTCCGTAATCGTTGTGATAAATGTGTGATTGTCTAATCATAACCTATCGAAACCATCCGAAATCGTTGTGATAAATGTGTGATTGTCTAACCATAACCGATCGAAACCATGATAAAATCGAGTTTGTTGTTATGATAGTGATATCACATGATTATCACACCCATATCGCACCAAATCGTTTAGTGGATTTCGCCCGTAATCGTTGTGATAAATGTGTGATTGTCTAATCCTGACCTATCGAAATAATCTGAAATCGTTGTGATAATGTCTAACCTAACCCATCGAAACCATGATCAAATTGAGTGATATTGATATCACATGATTATCACATCCATATCACACAAAATCATTTAATCGATTTCGCCAGTAATCGTCGTGATAAATGTGTGATAAACTAATTCTAATCGAATGAAAGCATGTTCAAATCGAGTAATTGTGAAAGATACCTTTCGTGAGACTTTACGGCTTCTTTGTTCGTTGATTTCTCCTTGAAATCAACTTCTTAATCGATACCTAATAAAGATAAGGATAAATCACTCTAATTTTGAGGATTATAATGTGATCGTGTAATTGTGTTTAAGATTTTATGATATTGATTTTCATTATTACCCTTTTGAATCTCAATTTTGTTTGAATCTTTTTAAATTTCAATTTTAATTTCAAAAATCTTTTAATTTTAATTGTTATCACAATATGGAGTTAATAGGTTGTTCTGACGTTCTCGTAAATCACAGGGTTTTCGTTTGAACCCTTCCTTTTATATATATATATATATATATATATATATATATTAGAAGCGTACTTGCGCAATGCAACGAGATACATCGTGATTTTAATATTTCATTTTATTCTTTATCTCAGTCGATGTTATAATATGGCTTTATGTGATTTTGAGAAATCGATGATGTTATTATTTTTGAATAAAATATATGTTTGAAGATATCTTAAAATTTTGACAAAAATATATCGATATTAGTATCAAATTAACTATTTGAAATTCCTCATTTTTTGTGTTATTTTTTAATTCAATTTTTTATAATTTAATTTAGGGACAATAACGAAGTAATTTATATTTGGTTTAATAATATAATTTTTTATAAAGATAATAATTATTTATTTTGTTGGAACTCGATAATTATATTTTAGGTTTTTTATATTTTAAAATAAGATGTTTATCCTCTGTTTGATTATATTGATCCGCAATTAGTTATACGAATTCAAAAATCGAGCTTTGATAAGTTGTACTTTTGCATAATTTACTTGTAATCTT